GACAAGAGTGTCCCATAAGAGCGACCCACAAGAGTGTCCTATAAGAGTGTCCCACAAGAGTGTCCCGTAAGAGTGTCCCACAAGGGGGCGCTATGAGAGTGCCCCACAAGAGTGTCCTACAAGAGTGTCCCACAAGAGTGTCCCACAAGAGTTCCTACAAGAGTGTCTCACAAGAGTGTCCCACAAGAGTGTCCTACAAGAGTGTCATTTGGACATACATATAGCCTCTTCTTGGGCAGAAATTTCTGCCTATTATGGGTAAAGGCAGCTTTGCCCGTGCTTAGGCGTTCTTGCCCCCTGTAGGCGTTCTTGTCCCCTCTGAGCATTCTTGTCATTTTGGTGGCATTGCTGAAATAGATGAGGGTCCACCCACCACTGATTCCAGGAACTTTCATAGTGAGGTGCATTTGCTTGTCATGGAATCACTAAGTGTTTCTCTTGTGATCTCTTTTGTATGTTTTTAGTTTTTCTATGCTTTGATTCATTGCCTTAGTATCTTTTTGCGTAGGTGTTCTGTGGGTCACTTAGGCGTTCTTACCCGTTACTTGGGCGTTCTTGCCCATTACTTTAGGCGTTCTTGCCCGTTCCCCCCTCACTACAATCAGTAGTTGGTTTGACAACGGGATGGTAGCCTTTTAGGGGGAGTGAGCGACATGAATTTCAATAACTTTGGACTGGGGATTAGCGTCAAGTGGCACGCGTTTGTTGTCTCAATCTTTTTTCTTTCAAATTCTGGCTCTGCCTCCTGCATGTAAGAATGCATGTGATTGTGCTGTAGCTTAGGCGTTCTTTGCAAAAACGGGCTGAATTTTCTGCCTAAACGGCGTTGGGCGGAAATTATTGCCTAACGAGGTTCTAGGTATGTAGCTTTTCGATCATGTTTGCATTCGGGTTCGTGGGCTCCATCTTGTTGCCTAACTTGTGGAGCTAGGTTCTTGTTTTCACCACTTTCCAACCACTGTGCACATGATGTGAGTTGTACTTCAGCTTGCCTCACGGCAGCTAGGTGACATTAAGCCTGAGAACATCCTCTATGAAACATCTCGGCAAGTTCTTCGAATTGCGGACTTTGGTGAGTCCCGTTCGCTGCGTGCAAGGTGAGAGACTGCCTCAGTAAGCGAGCTAAGAACCCATTGCATGCCATTTGCAGTAGCCATTTAGATTGGCCAGGATTGCTTGCACTGAGTTGGAACAAGTTCACTTCCCTGTGATCCGTTTGGGCAGGCCTCCATTTACAGACTATGTAGGCACGCGTTGGTACCGAGCGCCTGAATGCCTACTGCGA